ACTCAGCTATAAAGAATGATCACATTGAGATTGCATCACAGTTGCATCCATTTACCTTTACTCATAAGTGGTATGAATCAAACTTACATGAATAAATACTATATTGTCTCTCTAGTGTAAGAAATGGTAAGTGTACGTAAGATACAAAATCCTCAAAAAACACTGTAAAAGGGTAAGAATTTACTCAAATGGAAAAACAATAATAACTTAAGGAAAAGGAGAAAAAAAATGAAGAGAAAAAATATCTGAATTTGGATAAACACACTTAAGATAACAAAGATGACTGTGCTATATACAAATTCTATTCATTTTTAGAACAAAACAATTAACATTCATAGCACTGGAATAATTTTGCATGTTTCTGTCTGGTGATCTGAGGAACTCTTGAAGATCACTATGTAAAACAACAATCTTAGTAATGCTCCTACCACCTTGTTTTGAAGGTCTATATCATTGTTGCTTTGAGCTCTTTGCTATTGTTATTTATTTACCTTTTTGATTATTTTTTTATGATTTGCTTTATTTTGTTTTTTCCCCCCCTCTATCACAGAAAGGATAGGTGTACATGTAGAGGCTTATACATGCCTAGGACTTCGCCTAAACAGTTTATGAGAATCAACTGTACTATGCGTGATGAAATGAGCAGCTACATTGAAGAAAAAAAAGACATTGTGGTATCCATTGCTAATTTCCTATCATCATGGTGTGAAACCCAGTAATGCTTTTATTTTTTGTTTTGATTGGTTTTAGTTTATTTTCTATTATTTAGTTTCAACATACATGAAGGTATGGACAACTATTTTGAAGAGAACAAGATACATTACAGTAGCCACTATTGATCTTCCTACTGTCTGGTTTTGAAGGTCTATAATGCCTTTATTATTCTGTTTTGATCAGTTTTATACTATTTTATTTTGTATGAATTCATTGTGTGAAGATATAGACAACTATTTAGAAGAAAACAAGAGACATTATGGTTGCCACTGTAGATCTCCTGTCGTCTTGCTTTGAAATCATGTGTCACTTACATTGTTTTCTTCTGATATGCTTTGTTCTGTTTTGTTTTGCCCTCTTTAAAATAAAAAAAAAAATACAAAGACACAACTACTACCTTCAAGGAATTTATAAGCTTATAGAAAAGACACATAACAATTCTGACACCTTAATAGACATTTTAAAGAAAACATTAGTTCACTGGAGAAGAAAGACTATATAGAGGAAAGAAGCTTTCCAGAGGTTCCTACCTAAGAGATAGCAACTTTGTTTCCTATAAATAAAGAACCACTCCTTAAGGTATCTTAAGAAGCAGTGCTTTTATGCTGTGCATGGTGGCATACACCTGTAATCCCAGCCCTTAAGAGGCTGAGTTTGAGGACAGCCCAGGCTACAGACTGAGTTTAAGGTCAGTCTGAACTACACAGTGAGACTTTGCCTCCACAAAAAAAGAAAAAGTTTAAATATAATTTCTACTTATTTTAAATAAGGACACAGTTACATGATTGAAAATTCAAAACACAGACGTTTAGTAAGATAGTGCCTTTCTTAGTCCCTCTTCATTTGTTTCATTAATTTCTCAGTTTGCCCCTAGTCACCCAGCACCCCTCTGCCGAGGTAGATGATGTCATCAGTGCCATACACAAGCTCCAGATAAATTTAATGCATTATAAGCAGTGTTAATATGTATTTCTCCATTTTTACAAATATCTTGTTAATTTAATGAATTTGTTTGTTTGTTTGTTTGTTTTTGAGGTTATGTAGCCCAAGCTGGCCTTGATTTTGCTATGTAGCTCAGGTGGCCTCAAACTCAAGATCCTCCTAGCTCAGCCTCCCAAGTGCTGGAATTCCAATGGCTGTTTTTAAATACTTAACAATTAGACGATAGAGAGCTCTATGTTCTGGTTTGGCTTAAAACCTCTATGTTAGTCCAGTAATACAATCCATTCATGGCTCCTGCTCTGGTAGCATCCATCACCATTCCTTCATTCAACAAATGCCTTTTGAGTAAGAGGTACTGTTCTACGCAATGAGACACAGCAGTGACTAAAACTGGCAATTCCTGTGCTCTCAATGAACTTGTTAGTGGAAATTTCCTCCATCATTAGAGTGCATATGTACTTGTCTAGCATGAACAGGGCCCTGGGTTCAATCTTCAGTACGTATTTCCCAAGAAAACCACTTAAACAGGAGGAAAACAGGAAAAGAAAAATTTCGCCTCCTTGTCAAAAAATATTCCACATATTCCAGGAAATGACGGGCAGGGACTAGAAAACAATGTTATAATACATTTACATTCTCAATTTCTTATTTGCATTGGCATTGACTTCAATTACTATAATTACAAACACCCTATTATGGAAATTTATAAATAAATTTTTATTATAAAGGTTTCTAAGAGACTTTTAAACCTCTTTTTTAAAGATTATTCCTTTGCTGATGCATTTGTTCTGTACCTATCTGTTTTCCATTTTGGTAGTTCTTTGCATTCTGTTTTGTTTCACTATGAAAATTCTGGAAAGCTGTTAGAGGTGTAGCGATTATTGTTATTTTGATAGACAAAAGGAATATGCCAGGAAAACTGTTGTTTATCGCACTTTCTCCATTGCTGGCAAATTAATGAAATTTCCTCAGTTTTCAAAGCAATTGAAAAATTATCATTTCTCACCCAGATACTTGTTTTACATCTTTTTGCTTATTGTTTTCTCACCATCCATCTCTTAATCTTATACAACTTCACTTCCAATTTATTTATCAAACCTGTTCTGACTAGAACTTTCTTCTTTCTCCAGATCCTTCTAGAACTCATCTTTGATGTCTATGAGCATACTCTCCTTTCTGGATGCCGCTCAAAGTTCATTTTCTATAGTAACACTCATTTGTCATCTAATGAGTAGTAAAGGACATCAGTGAACACAAGGATGGGGAAGAAAAAATAAATGGAAATGAGCCTAAGAGCTCAGAGGCAGAAGTGAATCACTGCAGAGGCTCAGTGAGGGCACGTTTTTACTTTAAATGCAAGAAGAGATTTAGAAGTCGCTTAGAGCAATGGCCTCATTCTATAAACTAGAGAATGAGGTATATGTATGACTCTGCTTGCAAGTAACAGAACACAACAATAAGGAAATATATTCTACTACATCCTGTGAGGTCCAAACTTTGCACGGCGACCCCAGGGCTACTTTTCATTGCAGCGTCTATCATGCATTGTGTTCACTTTTGGATGTGAGCAAGATGGCACCGCAGTTTTATGACTTCAGTCCTGCAAGGTGAAGTACGAGACTAATGAACGAAAAACCCTATGTTTTTATTCCTGAGTTACTTTGCAAGAGTAAAGTAACTTGATCAAGAAGGCTTAATATTTGCCCTATTCTAGGACTTGCGCATTTCTAAAGGCATAACTGACTAGGAAAATGGGATTTCAAGACTGACCTGGATGAAGCCTAGAACTAAGCTTGAGGCAGCATGAGTGCTGGACAATCAAGGTTAAACAAACTGACCATAATCAAAACATTAGATATGGATCAAAGTGTAACTTTTATTCCTGTATTTACCCTACTATAATTCTAAAAATTTGCATATTTTCTTGTTCTCTAATAATGGATCCTACTGTTCTTTTTACAAACTTCTCTAGATAACTTACTTTTTTTTTTTTTTTGTCTGTTTCATTTTTATCGGTACCGGGGATTGAACTCACGACCGCCTGCTTGCAAGGCAGGTGTTTAATGTCGCTGAGCTAAGCCCCCAGCCCATAACTTACCTTTTTTTTTCTGGTTTCCTTAGGATTCTACAGTAGCAATGGCATAAGCACTGACGTTAGAGCCAGATTGCTTTGATTCAAATATAGACCCTGCCTCTTCCAAATATGTCACATAGGCATGTTATTTAATTTCCTTACTCACCTATAAAGGATAACAACAAAATCTATCTTATAGGTTCTGTGAGAAATAAATAATGTATATTAAGTGCTCATAACAGTACCTATTACATAATAAGTCTTCTGTAAGTATGTAATATTATTAATAAAGGGCATCTTCTGTTTTTGCCTCTCCAGGACCCCTTCTCTCTGCTTCTAATATATGTTCCAACTTTTCCTTCAAAGAACCAGCCCTCTGGCATGCCATATGGTCTTAGTACAATTCTTAGTATGAACAGCTCCCAAATGGGCAAAATGTGGGTGGCAAAGGGTAAGATAGGTGAATCTGACTATTTTCCCCTAGATCTGAATCTTATACAGACAGAAAACAGGTAAAATTCAGTCTCTCTGATGTCAAATCTTGAAGAGGTATTTCCTGAGTTCCTATTCCCTGGATCTTTGGAACTGTTTTGTCTTTTCCAAAATCTGATTAACACTCTCCCTTTGATTCTATTAGCTACCCAGAATCATTTAACAAATTCCCTTTTCTGCTAAAAAAAAAAAAACACCAAAATTGATTTCTTGAATAGGACTTCCTTATTAAATCATGAATAGTTTTATTTTTGTCACTGATTGTGTCCTTAAATCTTCTGAAGCCTACCCTACATAGATAACACAGTGGCTCTGAGGTCAAACAGTCTGGGCTCATTTCTAACTCCATCTCTGTGTTACTCAATGTATCTTTGGCTCATTTTCCTTAGCTGTAAAATGGGGAAATAATAACATTGCATCACTGGGTTACTTTTTGGTCATAGGAGAGGTGGGAAAAGGAAACTGAGGTAGCCTTGCCAGCTTCTTCTATGGGAAACTATCCATGAAATGGACACACACAAACTGATTCATATAACCAGTCCAGGAAAGAAATTTATATAATAGCCCTACAAAATGTGAAAAAGGGTACTCTGGCCTATTGTTATGTTTAATGAATATGATTCTTACCAGGTTTAAAATGTTTTTTTCTAAATGTTACACATTATGAGTTTTCAACTAGACCAACTCTTCATTGTTTCTTTCCTATGGGGATACTAAGTATAGGACAAGAAGAAAAAGGAAAAGGGAGAAAAACAATAGAAAAAACTATATATCTTACTTGGCTTGTGCAAGACAACCTGGTGCAACCACATTCTGATTCTCCTCCTGAATCTGGAGTGCAGTGAGCTCCAGCATGTTAACCATCACGTCATTTGTGTGGCCTGGGAGCTGCGGAAGCACTGAAATGATCTTCTCTACCAAGTTGTCTCCATGATGTCCAACCGCTCCTGCGTAGGCAGGCAAGAAAAGGTAAACACACAAGAAGGGAGGAAAACTCAACTGCATAAATTCTTCATAATGCTCCTTCTGTCAAAAATAACAGATATTTTTTATTTTCTGTTGCACAACTCAATAACACAAACCTAATACTTTGCCATTTAAAACTAATTATATTCAAAATTACCTACTCAATGTGTGCCTCACTTAATGCCACAAGGGCTGGTATTACCTCTGGTTACTATAATATCCCCCAGCACCTAGCACAGTGCCTACATGCAGCAAGCTGAATAAAATATCAGCATATAGTCAACCAACTAAATAGTGTCATGGGCAGAGGCTAAAATTTTAAAGCTGACTTTTATTTTCATTTTACTGTTTTACTTTTGCAAACACACTAAGTCCCAGAACAATAGATCTTCCATCCACTACAGCCATATGTTCACAACAATAAATGCCAGGTCATCTAGTTCACTCCGCACTCACAATGTCTAGCATGAAAACTGGCAGCTAATGGGTTCTCAGTAAATACTTATTGTATAAAAGCAAGAATATGTGGACAACTGGTAAAGTACTACCCTGTGATTGATGTTTTCTGTGTACCAAGCAGTGATCAAGAAGTTTTATGTAGTAATAAGAACAGCAGGAGTAATAAAACCCAAAATGTATAATTGCTATTGTAAAAAAGAGAGAAAAAGAAAGTGCTCTAAAGGATATAATTGCAGTATTTTAAGTGTGTAAGAGAGATAACCATATTAATAAGTTTTTGTTGGATCATTGAACAGAACTGATTGCAGTCTCACTGTTTGAATGTCCACTTTGTATGCTTTAATTTTGTTACTTGAACAACTGTTTCTAAGATGACAATATGTAATTTATCAACTAGTGATTTCTTACAGTTTATTTTTTTTTGAAATTCTGTATTATTTTTACTCTTTTTCCTCTTTTGCTTTTTTTCTCTTTAAATAAAATTTAAAAAAATAAAAAAGATGTTTTATGTGTATTAGCTCTATTAATAATTAATGAACTCAAGTTAAAATCCAAGATTAGGGGCCTGGGGATTTAGCTCAGCAGCATAAGCACCTGCCTTGCAAGCGTGCGGTCGTGAGTTTAATCCCCGGTACCAATAAAAAATAAAAAATAATTAAATAGGAAAAAAGTCCAAGATTAATGACACACTCTAATCCTTTTTCCATGAAGCCAAGTTATTTCTACAAAACCCATCCCTGTTTAGAAGTCATGACTCCAAAAATGACTGGGACTTATAATAATTCTTTATAATTCAATTCACTCCAACAATGATTTGGCTGTATAAGTCTTTATAATCAAATGCACTTTCAATTAACTAACACTGATTCTTAATGTCTATCTCTCTCTCTCTTTCTCTCTCTGTGTTCATTTTTCCCAAGTCACATTAATGGAATAGAAGAACTAGGTAGAAAAGACCAAACCAAGAACCCAAAGAATCATTATGTTCTTCTTCATCACAACAGCTAATACTTATCAAGAGCATATGACAGTGGTGGCAAACCTATGTCCTGCATGTTATTTGTATTTCTTTTAATAGAAAAGATGTTAATATGAGATATTTTTCTAAACAAGACCTAAGTATTTAGGTTCAATTGCAGTGTTGACCCTTTGTAGTAAGTAAGTGGGTTTGGGGTTGCAGTTTAGGCACTCATCTCTAAAACGCTCCCCTCACTGGCCTATATATAATACCATGTGCTAGGTTCCATACTGCATATTTAATTCTTACAATGACTTTAATATGTAGATATTATCATATTCAATTACCCAGTAGAAAATGAACTTACATCACTCACTCATAAGTACTGCATTTCTATAACTGTCACTACCACTGTAGTCTCACCTGCCTCAGTACAATCAGCACCTCTGGGGGAAAGCTGCATCTACATCACCATGCTCCTGGGTGCTACTGTTCACCTTCTCCAGATTAACAGTATTAGGTTACTTGTGGTGTCAATAAGCACAATTTTATTTTTACTGACTACAAAAGAAGTAAAAGTACTTAAACAATAGGATTCATGGGACAGTTATTCATCAAGGAAATATCAGCCATATGTATTACTAATATAGAATCATAATACAATGTTGAAACATTTTTTACCAAATGAAACTGTAATGATTTTAAAGATAACTAGGATAAGTATCTATAAGATATCCATTAAAAGACTTCACTCTAGCTTCATTACCTCCAAGGTCACTGCTTTTGGCACTGAACACCACACACAGATGACTTCACCCCACTCTAGAGATCTCTCCTCCTTTCCCATGCTCCAAACCCTGCACCCTGGCCAGTGCCTTCCTCCCCATGACGTACCAGCCATTTAGACTGAATTATGAAAATAAGAAGCAAGCCAAGCCCTTATGCCTCTGAAAGTGGCATGACTAACTTTTAGGGGTTCACTCTCATTGGTTTATTATCACACCTTGTTAATTCTTCAGCATTCAATTGAGATTGTTTTTTGTAGTCTTCTCCTGGGCCTTAAACAGAGTAGTTAAATTTTCCTTTTTACTTTTAATTACTGCCCTAAATCTACAAAAACAAGCTTCCTATTTATTCCCTTAAGAAAAATGCCTTTCAAGACAGAGTATTGTTTCATATGATTTTATGCACCTAAAAATACAACTTCACTAATTTAAAGATGACCTCCAAAGTTAAGCTAGTGGCAGAAAGATGCTTAACACATACAATGTGAAGTTTTACACTAAAAACTCTCACTTTGATAACTGAAAAACAAAAGATGCTAAACCTGGACACTTACAGAAAAACCCAATATTGTCATACCAGGTAGCTACTTAATACTTATACTGTTTTTGTTAAAGAAAAACGTTTGAGCCTTAATTTCTTTAATCATGAAATGAAAGCTAATACGTAACTCATCTAACTTGTAAGAAGATCAAATAAAGTAATGTGAAAGTAATTTTTTTTTTTGAGACAGAATTGTCATAGACAATAAGTTAGGCAGAAACATTATAGGCAGTCAGGCAGGTCTAGGCCCTCACAAAAGATGGTGCAAAAGGTGAGAATGCATTACAGCTGTGAGTGAGGCACTTTCTTTCATTCATTGAAGGCCAGAGTTCAAGACAAAGATGAAGTGACTACACCTACTTTCCCAGAGATAAAAAATAATGATTGATATTTTAAATAGGCATCAATCACCTGGGTGGGGGACCAAGACCTTCACCCTCCCTTTGAGGACTACATTTGTAATCTTATTGATCATAGTTTTGTCCAATCTTATACCCACCTCATGATTTCATAATCACCTCGTGATTTTGCTCTATAAAACTTCCTTTGAGGAGTGGACTGGTGGGCAACATACTTTCTGGCCCCCTTCTGTCTCTCTTAGACATAAGCTATCTTTCCCTCAATAAATATTTCCTATGCTTAACCTTTGCTGTTGCTTAGAATTCATTCTTTGATTTTGGAAACATGACCTAAGCATACCAGCCTTCAAGCAGGTTAAGAGATATATCATTTTGAGATCCTATATCATTTCTATATCATATTTGAGGTTTCCATCTAGATAATTGCATCAAGATAAGAGTTTTGTTTTGCTTCACAGATTTTGGATTGTGACTCACTTAGGTAATCAAAACTTGTCATCCTTGTTTGTCAAAGGCTTATGCCTTGAAATTTTATACCTTGACTTTAACAATTGTTTATGACTTAAAATTTTATGCCTTGTCTTTTATACACATTATTTTGTTAAATTGAGAGTAAATTTAAATTAAGATCATGGGTACTTTAACAGTTGTTTACGATTTGAATTTTTATGCCTTATCTCTTATATACATTATTTTGTTAAAATTGATAGTAAATTTAAATTAAGATCATAGATATGTAACTATCTATGATGGTAAGTAATAAACCACTATTCTAAATAATAACATTACTTTCAATAGCATTACTCTAAAAATAGTACTTTGAAAAAAGAAAAAGAGGCAGGCATGGTAGTGCATGCCTATTATCCCAGCACTTGGGAGACTGAGGCAGGAAGATTGCCATGAGTTCAAGGCTTACTTGTGCTACACACTGAGTTCAAGGCCAGCCTGTACTACATAATGAGAGCTTGTCTCAAAAAAAATTTTTTTTAAAGATTTGGAAGACAGATTTTACTGAGACAGACTGTTCTTAATTATCCCTCTTTATGCTACACGGAATGTCAAGATTGTTCTGCCTCAGTCCCTTTATGAGCTGATCTTTCTCTGATCTCATTTCTGATACACTGTACTTTCCTTTGGAAGCATACAAGATTAGAGAAAAAACTGAAATGCCACAAATTTTTCTTCCTGCCCAACAACTAAGAACCTTTAACTTAAGCCTGTAGAAAAATGAATGTTTGTTAATACCAAAGACAGGGAAGTCATCTTAAATGAAGTTAGCTCAGGCTTTTATCTGTCCTTTATAGAACTCTAACAAACAGTAGCTTTTCTGCCAGTTAGTTAAATGCTCTTACATTAGTTGCCACTCTTAAACCAGAGGATAGGTTCCCCAGCAGCTTCAGGTCAATCCCTAGTGAGGTCTCTGGAATGTTTAACAGACTGGCAGCTGGATTCTTTTCTGGAGACAAATCTCTGGTTGCATGGAACCACAGATGAAAGCTGAGAGGACAACTGAGAGGTCATGGCAAAGGAGACTCTGTTGGAGAGTCAAAGATTCCTCCCTGAGTCCTGATAGCCTGCTTGCGTATTTAGCAGAAAAATCTCCATTTATCTATCATCCCTACATGCACTCATCAGTGAGGTGAGAAGTAACTTTCTCAGCAATCATTTGGTATCCTCTACCCAAAGTAACCAGAGACAACATTGTTAGAGCCGTCTCTTAAGCCTCCATTAAGAACTGAGCTACAGGTTTGGAATTTTCTCTCTGCTAGTAAGTTATAAACTCACCCTAAATTGTTCACCAACTCACTGGCAGTAGACTTTAGAATCATCTTGTAGTTAGATAGCACTTCTCTCCAAGAGGCAGCTTACAATTGTTTGC